TTGGTGTATGCCAAGTGTTTATTTTGAAGATGGCTGAATCGGGAAGATATGTGGAATGGAACGCAGTAATTTTTTTTTTTATCTTTTTTTTTTTTCATTCGGTGTGCCAAGAATATATAAAATCTCTTTTTTTTTTCTTCTCTTTTTTTTTGTTGTTTTGTTTTTCAGTTTTCTCTTTTTTTTTTTTTCAGAACTTGGCTTTTCTTTTCCTTTTTCCATTTGTATATGTAAGCAAATAGTATGAGGTTTATAAGGAAAAATCATGTTTTTGGGAATGGACCGAGTTTTACCTTTCGCAACGTGATGATTGTCGCCACCCCCGCACTACTCGCTCGGTTGCCTACTCGTCCTCAAGAATGAGAGTGGAATAAAAAGGTGGGAGCAACGAGTAGGTCTTGCGGGCCTCATATTCCCTTGAATGAGGAACAGTTCTTAAAGGAAGCGCTAATACTTGGTTCGATATCTTGTCTTTGAAATCTAATGCAATTTATTTCCGATAATCAAGACCAAAAATCCAATGAAGGTTAGTCATCGATTCGATTTAACCGACAATTTACCCAATCGTCTAAAACATGTAAAGACTGGCTTATATGAAGTTTAAGTTCAAAAGCATTTGAGTCATATTTATTAATTCCCAAACATATGCAGAAACGAGAGAAAAAACAAATATTCCTAGTTTTTTTTTTTTTCAACAAGACATATGTATGCAATGCAAAACATGAGACACAATAAAACCAATAGCGATCATTAGAGCGTCCCCCAGACTTGAATTATGCATCGTCCCGATGTTAAATACTCGTCCGAAAAAAACATAACCATGGAATTCACAAGAGTTTAGGGTTCAAAATATACCTCGTGATATCGCACTGTACCTTACCGTATGTGGTAGACCAGGTTATATAATGATCGCATGACTCTTTTTTTTTTTGTTTTTTTTTTGTTTTTGTTTTTTTTTTTAAAATTTCGTTCATTCTTGACTACAGTTGTTCCCCCTTTCTTTGGAACTACCTGAACAGGACTAACCCACTCACTATCAGAGATAGGGTGTTAACGACGCGAAATGGTCCGGACCATCGTGATTTTAGCTTCCCTGGAAAAAGCTTTAATCGTGAGTTAAATAACAAGACCGAATCATTTACCTTGAAAGTTCTGTGGAGGATTCGACGGTCATGCCATTTTTTTGCTCTTTCCTTGTAAATTTTTGCATTCTCGTATACGTCTAAACGTATCTCGTCAAGATGATGAAGTTGTAGAAGTCTCTTCTCTGTAGCACTCTTCAAGTCAAAGTTCAGCTCCTTTATGGCCCAATACGCTTTGTACTCCAACTCCACAGGTAAATGACAGGCTTTTCCATACACCATTTGAAATGGTGTCATCCCGATAGGAGTCTTGTAAGCCGTTCGGTAAGCCCATAATGCATCATCAAGCTTCAAGGACCAATCTTTTCTTGATTTTGAAGTGGTTTTCTCCAGAATGGCCTTGATTTCTCGGTTGGACACTTCAACTTGTCCGCTCGTCTGAGGGTGATAGGGTGTAGCAACCCTATGTTTGACTCCATATTTTCGCAAAAGTGCTTCAAAGGCTCGATTCACAAAGTGTGAGCCTCCGTCACTTATCACCACCCGTGGAATTCCAAAACGTGGGAAAATCGTTTTCTTGAATAACTTGATCACTATCTTGGAATCACATGTAGGACTAGCGATAGCCTCCACCCATTTTGTCACATAGTCGACAGCAACAAGTATGTATTGATTTCCACAGGATGATGGGAATGGTCCCATAAAATCGATGCCCCATACATCGAATGGTTCGACTTCAAGGATGTATCTTTGTGGCATTTCATGTCGTCTTCCAATGTTTCCCGTCCTTTGGCATGTGTCACACGAGGAAACAAATTTATGAACATCCTTGAACAGCGTCGGCCAATAAAATCCTGCATGTAATATCTTGGTCGCCGTTTTAGAGGTTCCGAAATGGCCGGCATAATCTGATGAATGACAGTGCCTGATTACGTCAAGGATTTCGTCTTCGGGGATGCATCGTCGGAATAGACCATCTACTCCACGTCGAAAGAGGAATGGTTCTTCCCAGAAATAATGACGAACATCATTCAGAAATCTTTTTCTTCTATTGTAATCCAACTCTGGGGGTAAAATTCCGCATGCGAGATAGTTGACGTAGTCAGCATACCATGGTGCATCATTTCTGTTCTCAAGAGACATGACATGGTCGTCTGGAAATGAATCATCAATAGGTATGTCCTCCTTGAACTCAAGACGTGAGAGGTGATCCGCTACACCATTTTCTGCTCCTCTCCTATCACGAATCTCGAGATCAAACTCTTGGAGCAATAGGATCCATCGTATCAACCGTGGCTTTGCATCTTTCTTGGAGAGAAGATACCGTAGAGCAGCATGATCGGTATAAACAATCACCTTTGATCCAACCAAATATGATCGAAACTTCTCAAATGCGAAAACTATTGCAAGTAATTCTTTCTCTGTGGTGGCGTAGTTGATTTGTGCGTCATCTAGGGTTCGACTTGCATAGTATATCGCATGAAGTTTCTTGTCTTTTCTTTGACCTAGGACTGCTCCAACGGCATAGTCACTTGCGTCGCACATCAGCTCGAAAGGCTTTCCCCAGGCAGGGTGTTGAATGATCGGTGGAGAGATCAATGACTTCTTCAGAGTCTCAAACGCCTCATGACATTGCTTTGTAAAGACAAATTGAACATCCTTCCCCAATAGCTCCGTCAAAGGTTTTGAAATTTTGGAAAAGTCTTTGATGAAACGTCGGTAGAATCCTGCATGTCCTAGGAAGCTTCGGATGCCTTTGACATTGGTTGGGGGTATCATTTGCTCAATCACCTCGATTTTAGCCCGATCAACCTCGATTCCTTTTTCAGAAATTTTGTGTCCCAGAACGATTCCTTCTTGCACCATGAAGTGACATTTTTCCCAATTCAGAACCAAGTTTACCTGTTCACACCTGTCTAAGACTCGAGCAAGATTCATTAAACACACATCAAAGGAGGAACCATAGAAAGAGAAATCGTCCATGAATACCTCCATGATGTCCTCAATAAACTCAGAGAATATAGACATCATGCATCGTTGAAATGTGGTTGGTGCGTTACATAAACCAAAAGGCATACGCCTATAGGCAAATGTTCCGTAGGGACAAGTGAATGTGGTTTTCTCTTGGTCTGAAGGATGGATAGGAATTTGAAAGAAACCTGAGTAGCCATCTAGAAAGCAAAAGTATTTGTGTTTTGCTAATCTTTCTAGCATTTGGTCAATGAAGGGCAAGGGGAAATGGTCTTTCCGCGTGGCTTTGTTAAGTTTTCTGTAATCAATGCACATTCGCCAACCATTTACAATCCTAGTCGGGATAAGTTCATTTCGTTCATTCTTGACTACAGTTGTTCCCCCTTTCTTTGGAACTACCTGAACAGGACTAACCCACTCACTATCAGAGATAGGGTAGATTATTCCAGCATCGAGTAGTTTCAAGATTTCTTTCTTAACCACTTCTTTCATATTCGGGTTTAAACGTCTTTGGTGCTCAATTGAGGGTTTATATCCATCCTCCATCAAAATTCTATGCATGCAAATGGATGGGTGTATGCCTTTCATATCATCTAATGAATACCCTATCGCCTTTCTGTGATTGTGATTTCTAAGTGTATCTAACAACTTAGAGGTGTGCAGTTCATTCAATGAGGCATTAATGATGACAGGGTATGAAGAATTAGGTCCAAGAAATTCATACCTCAGTCCTGGTGGCAACGGCTTCAACTCCACCTTTGGTGCAACCTTAGGATCCCATTCATCGGCGATGTCGTTTTTGGTTTTTGTGGTTGCTTCTTCAACAAGGCAAACATCATGGAGCTCTGGTGGGGTTGATTCGTCATGGTACCGCAATTTGGAATTCTTGTTAGGTACAATCTCATCGTGTTGTGGTGATTCGATGTCGTCGACTTCATTGTGTATGGGGCAAGGCGTCTCCATAGAGCATATTGTAGCTTCTTCGTCAAGGATTTCGGAGTATACGTTCACCTCTTCTTGATCTACGCATGTCTCTACTTTGCTTGCCATGAGGGTCACTTCTAGGGGATCAACGTCGCGTAATTCTTCCAATATCTCGTCTGCCAATTGTTCAAGGACGTCGATGTAACAACACGTATCATCCACGGAGGGTTGTTTGAGCGATTGAGCGAGCTTGAACTCTACTTTTTCTTCTCCTATTGACAATGTCAAATGACCCTCTTTTACGTTGATAACTGCTCCAGCAGTGGCCAAGAATGGGCGTCCGAGTATGATTGGAATATTTGAGTCTTCATCCATTTCCATGACCACAAAATCGACAGGGACATAAAAATTCCCGACCTTAAGTGGGACATCTTCAAGAATCCCAATGGGATATTTGATTGAGCGATCTGCCAGTTGTAGAGTCATCCTCGTCGGTTTGAGTTCTCCAATGTTGAGCATTTTGCATATTGACAGAGGCATAAGGCTCACGCTAGCTCCAAGATCACATAATGCCTTTTTAATTGAGACATTACCTAGGGTGCAAGGGATCGAGAAGCTTCCAGGATCTTTCATCTTTTGGGGTAGCTCATGCTTCAGAATTGCGCTACATTCAGAGTTTAGCGCGATGGTCTCTTCTTGAATCGTCCTTTTCTTCGATAATATATCTTTTAAGAATTTTGCATAGGATGGCATCTTGAGGATAACTTCAGTGAAAGGCAAGTTTACCTCCATTTTCTTCAGCATATCAGCAAACTTTGCGAATTGACTGTCATCGTCACGTTTTCTCAACCTTTGAGGGAAAGGCACGTGTGGCTTGTATGGTGATGGTAGAATGTATGACTTCTCTTGTATGTCTTCTTTTGCCACCTTGATGTCAGGGTCGGAATCGACAACATCGTCTTTACCTCCGTCTTTATTGATTTGTTTCTCCTTGGATTTAATATCTTCAAGTTTTCTCCCGCTTCTTAGCTCAACAACATTACAATGCTCCCGAGGGTTAGGCTCAGGTCTTCCAGGAAGTGTTCCCATGGGCCTTGATGAAGATGACGCCATTTGGGCAACTTGATTGTCTAGGAGCTTCAGATGTGTGTTGATTCCCTCGACTTGTTTGCGGATATCGTCTTGATCATTCTTCATCCCTCGAATCTCGTTGTTTGTTTGTCTAATATCAGCAGACAGTTGTTTCTGCATGCTTAGGAGCAATTCCTTAAGCTCATCTTTGGGTTGCGGCTGCGGTGCAAGTACGGGTTGCGCTACTTGTGGTTGATAGCGTTGCTCGTATGGTTGAAAATGTTGGGGTCTTTGGAGTATTCTTGGGGCTTGGGGTTGATTGGCCAGATTTTCTGTGTTTCCGGTGTTTTTGTAAGAAAAGTTTGGGTGATTACGCCAACCTGGATTGTATGTATTTGAGTAGGGGTTGTTCGCCACATAGTTGACATTCTCGACCTCTTGTTCTTGGGTCTGCATGGTGTAATTGTAGCTTGAGTCTTGTGGAATTGATGTCACCGCATTTGAATTCTCCAATAGAACTGTGAGTTTGGCGACTTGTGCTCGTAGGGATTGGACTTCACTTGACTCACCCTTAGACTTTATGTTTCCCCTTCGGTCGTACTCATCCATGTCATCGCCCCGATCTCTCGCCATTTCTTCAATTAATTCCTCGAGATGCTCAAAAGTGAGGTTGCGGATAGAACCTCCAGCAGCGGCATTTATCCAACGTCTTATGTCTTTCCTTAACCCTTCAACGAAGGTTGAGATTAGGTGCCTTCGATCCATGCCATGATGTGGGCACGCTCGTTGGTAACCTTTGAACCTTTGCCAAGCGTCGTAAAGACTTTCGCCGTTCTCTTGAACAAAATTATTTATTTTCACCTTGAAATTTGCCGTCTTGTGAGGCGGAAAGTACTCCTCCAAGAACTTGTGCTCCATTTGTTCCCATGTATGGATGGAATCAGGTTTTAAGTTGAATAACCATTGTTCCGCTTTATCGCCCAGGGAGTATGGGAACGCCCATAAAAAGATTGCCTCTTCAGATACGCCTTCGACAATCATTGATTTGCACATTTTCTTGAAATAGGGTAGATTATTCCAGCATCGAGTAGTTTCAAGATTTCTTTCTTAACCACTTCTTTCATATTCGGGTTTAAACGTCTTTGGTGCTCAATTGAGGGTTTATATCCATCCTCCATCAAAATTCTATGCATGCAAATGGATGGGTGTATGCCTTTCATATCATCTAATGAATACCCTATCGCCTTTCTGTGATTTCTAAGTGTATCTAACAACTTAGAGGTGTGCAGTTCATTCAATGAGGCATTAATGATGACAGGGTATGAAGAATTAGGTCCAAGAAATTCATACCTCAGTCCTGGTGGCAACGGCTTCAACTCCACCTTTGGTGCAACCTTAGGATCCCATTCATCGGCGATGTCGTTTTTGGTTTTTGTGGTTGCTTCTTCAACAAGGCAAACATCATGGAGCTCTGGTGAGGTTGATTCGTCATGGTACCGCAATTTGGAATTCTTGTTAGGTACAATCTCATCGTGTTGTGGTGATTCGATGTCGTCGACTTCATTGTGTATGGGGCAAGGCGTCTCCATAGAGCATATTGTAGCTTCTTCGTCAAGGATTTCGGAGTATACGTTCACCTCTTCTTGATCTACGCATGTCTCTACTTTGCTTGCCATGAGGGCCACTTCTAGGGGATCAACCTCGCGTAATTCTTCCAATATCTCGTCTGCCAATTGTTCAAGGACGTCGATGTAACAACACGTATCATCCACGGAGGGTTGTTTGAGCGATTGAGCGAGCTTGAACTCTACTTTTTCTTCTCCTATTGACAATGTCAAATGACCCTCTTTTACGTTGATAACTGCTCCAGCAGTGGCCAAGAATGGGCGTCCGAGTATGATTGGAATATTTGAGTCTTCATCCATTTCCATGACCACAAAATCGACAGGGACATAAAAATTCCCGACCTTAAGTGGGACATCTTCAAGAATCCCAATGGGATATTTGATTGAGCGATCTGCCAGTTGTAGAGTCATCCTCGTCGGTTTGAGTTCTCCAATGTTGAGCATTTTGCATATTGACAGAGGCATAAGGCTCACGCTAGCTCCAAGATCACATAATGCCTTTTTAATTGAGACATTACCTAGGGTGCAAGGGATCGAGAAGCTTCCAGGATCTTTCATCTTTTGGGGTAGCTCATGCTTCAGAATTGCGCTACATTCAGAGTTTAGCGCGATGGTCTCTTCTTGAATCGTCCTTTTCTTCGATAATATATCTTTTAAGAATTTTGCATAGGATGGCATCTTGAGGATAACTTCAGTGAAAGGCAAGTTTACCTCCATTTTCTTCAGCATATCAGCAAACTTTGCGAATTGACTGTCATCGTCACGTTTTCTCAACCTTTGAGGGAAAGGCACGTGTGGCTTGTATGGTGATGGTAGAATGTATGACTTCTCTTGTATGTCTTCTTTTGCCACCTTGATGTCAGGGTCGGAATCGACAACATCGTCTTTACCTCCGTCTTTATTGATTTGTTTCTCCTTGGATTTAATATCTTCAAGTTTTCTCCCGCTTCTTAGCTCAACAACATTACAATGCTCCCGAGGGTTAGGCTCAGGTCTTCCAGGAAGTGTTCCCATGGGCCTTGATGAAGATGACGCCATTTGGGCAACTTGATTGTCTAGGAGCTTCAGATGTGTGTTGATTCCCTCGACTTGTTTGCGGATATCGTCTTGATCATTCTTCATCCCTCGAATCTCGTTGTTTGTTTGTCTAATATCAGCAGACAGTTGTTTCTGCATGCTTAGGAGCAATTCCTTAAGCTCATCTTTGGGTTGCGGCTGCGGTGCAAGTACGGGTTGCGCTACTTGTGGTTGATAGCGTTGCTCGTATGGTTGAAAATGTTGGGGTCTTTGGAGTATTCTTGGGGCTTGGGGTTGATTGGCCAGATTTTCTGTGTTTCCGGTGTTTTTGTAAGAAAAGTTTGGGTGATTACGCCAACCTGGATTGTATGTATTTGAGTAGGGGTTGTTCGCCACATAGTTGACATTCTCGACCTCTTGTTCTTGGGTCTGCATGGTGTAATTGTAGCTTGAGTCTTGTGGAATTGATGTCACCGCATTTGAATTCTCCAATAGAACTGTGAGTTTGGCGACTTGTGCTCGTAGGGATTGGACTTCACTTGACTCACCCTTAGACTTTATGTTTCCCCTTCGGTCGTACTCATCCATGTCATCGCCCCGATCTCTCGCCATTTCTTCAATTAATTCCTCGAGATGCTCAAAAGTGAGGTTGCGGATAGAACCTCCAGCAGCGGCATTTATCCAACGTCTTATGTCTTTCCTTAACCCTTCAACGAAGGTTGAGATTAGGTGCCTTCGATCCATGCCATGATGTGGGCACGCTCGTTGGTAACCTTTGAACCTTTGCCAAGCGTCGTAAAGACTTTCGCCGTTCTCTTGAACAAAATTATTTATTTTCACCTTGAAATTTGCCGTCTTGTGAGGCGGAAAGTACTCCTCCAAGAACTTGTGCTCCATTTGTTCCCATGTATGGATGGAATCAGGTTTTAAGTTGAATAACCATTGTTCCGCTTTATCGCCCAGGGAGTATGGGAACGCCCATAAAAAGATTGCCTCTTCAGATACGCCTTCGACAATCATTGATTTGCACATTTTCTTGAATGTTGCGAGGTGAACATTGGGATCTTCATGAGGCCATCCTCCGAAAGTTTTGCTTGCGAGCATTTGAATAAATGCTGGTTTGAGCTCAAAGTTTGTTCGATTGATCGGTGGCCTTCGGATGCATGACAGGAATTCTGTGGGTTTGGGTGAGTTGTAGTCACCGTACGTCTCGGCTCGTGGCTCCCGTCGTAAGGCTGGTTCTGGTGCTTGAGGGGGTGGTGGAAGTCGTGGTGGTTGATTATTGACGCCCACCATTTTTGTTTGTCTTCTTCGAGTGATATCGTTCACCTCTTCTTGATCTACGCATGTCTCTACTTTGCTTGCCATGAGGGCCACTTCTAGGGGATCAACCTCGCGTAATTCTTCCAATATCTCGTCTGCCAATTGTTCAAGGACGTCGATGTAACAACACGTATCATCCACGGAGGGTTGTTTGAGCGATTGAGCGAGCTTGAACTCTACTTTTTCTTCTCCTATTGACAATGTCAAATGACCCTCTTTTACGTTGATAACTGCTCCAGCAGTGGCCAAGAATGGGCGTCCGAGTATGATTGGAATATTTGAGTCTTCATCCATTTCCATGACCACAAAATCGACAGGGACATAAAAATTCCCGACCTTAAGTGGGACATCTTCAAGAATCCCAATGGGATATTTGATTGAGCGATCTGCCAGTTGTAGAGTCATCCTCGTCGGTTTGAGTTCTCCAATGTTGAGCATTTTGCATATTGACAGAGGCATAAGGCTCACGCTAGCTCCAAGATCACATAATGCCTTTTTAATTGAGACATTACCTAGGGTGCAAGGGATCGAGAAGCTTCCAGGATCTTTCATCTTTTGGGGTAGCTCATGCTTCAGAATTGCGCTACATTCAGAGTTTAGCGCGATGGTCTCTTCTTGAATCGTCCTTTTCTTCGATAATATATCTTTTAAGAATTTTGCATAGGATGGCATCTTGAGGATAACTTCAGTGAAAGGCAAGTTTACCTCCATTTTCTTCAGCATATCAGCAAACTTTGCGAATTGACTGTCATCGTCACGTTTTCTCAACCTTTGAGGGAAAGGCACGTGTGGCTTGTATGGTGATGGTAGAATGTATGACTTCTCTTGTATGTCTTCTTTTGCCACCTTGATGTCAGGGTCGGAATCGACAACATCGTCTTTACCTCCGTCTTTATTGATTTGTTTCTCCTTGGATTTAATATCTTCAAGTTTTCTCCCGCTTCTTAGCTCAACAACATTACAATGCTCCCGAGGGTTAGGCTCAGGTCTTCCAGGAAGTGTTCCCATGGGCCTTGATGAAGATGACGCCATTTGGGCAACTTGATTGTCTAGGAGCTTCAGATGTGTGTTGATTCCCTCGACTTGTTTGCGGATATCGTCTTGATCATTCTTCATCCCTCGAATCTCGTTGTTTGTTTGTCTAATATCAGCAGACAGTTGTTTCTGCATGCTTAGGAGCAATTCCTTAAGCTCATCTTTGGGTTGCGGCTGCGGTGCAAGTACGGGTTGCGCTACTTGTGGTTGATAGCGTTGCTCGTATGGTTGAAAATGTTGGGGTCTTTGGAGTATTCTTGGGGCTTGGGGTTGATTGGCCAGATTTTCTGTGTTTCCGGTGTTTTTGTAAGAAAAGTTTGGGTGATTACGCCAACCTGGATTGTATGTATTTGAGTAGGGGTTGTTCGCCACATAGTTGACATTCTCGACCTCTTGTTCTTGGGTCTGCATGGTGTAATTGTAGCTTGAGTCTTGTGGAATTGATGTCACCGCATTTGAATTCTCCAATAGAACTGTGAGTTTGGCGACTTGTGCTCGTAGGGATTGGACTTCACTTGACTCACCCTTAGACTTTATGTTTCCCCTTCGGTCGTACTCATCCATGTCATCGCCCCGATCTCTCGCCATTTCTTCAATTAATTCCTCGAGATGCTCAAAAGTGAGGTTGCGGATAGAACCTCCAGCAGCGGCATTTATCCAACGTCTTATGTCTTTCCTTAACCCTTCAACCAAGGTTGAGATTAGGTGCCTTCGATCCATGCCATGATGTGGGCACGCTCGTTGGTAACCTTTGAACCTTTGCCAAGCGTCGTAAAGACTTTCGCCGTTCTCTTGAACAAAATTATTTATTTTCACCTTGAAATTTGCCGTCTTGTGAGGCGGAAAGTACTCCTCCAAGAACTTGTGCTCCATTTGTTCCCATGTATGGATGGAATCAGGTTTTAAGTTGAATAACCATTGTTCCGCTTTATCGCCCAGGGAGTATGGGAACGCCCATAAAAAGATTGCCTCTTCAGATACGCCTTCGACAATCATTGATTTGCACATTTTCTTGAATGTTGCGAGGTGAACATCGCCTTTCTGTGATTTCTAAGTGTATCTAACAACTTAGAGGTGTGCAGTTCATTCAATGAGGCATTAATGATGACAGGGTATGAAGAATTAGGTCCAAGAAATTCATACCTCAGTCCTGGTGGCAACGGCTTCAACTCCACCTTTGGTGCAACCTTAGGATCCCATTCATCGGCGATGTCGTTTTTGGTTTTTGTGGTTGCTTCTTCAACAAGGCAAACATCATGGAGCTCTGGTGAGGTTGATTCGTCATGGTACCGCAATTTGGAATTCTTGTTAGGTACAATCTCATCGTGTTGTGGTGATTCGATGTCGTCGACTTCATTGTGTATGGGGCAAGGCGTCTCCATAGAGCATATTGTAGCTTCTTCGTCAAGGATTTCGGAGTATACGTTCACCTCTTCTTGATCTACGCATGTCTCTACTTTGCTTGCCATGAGGGCCACTTCTAGGGGATCAACCTCGCGTAATTCTTCCAATATCTCGTCTGCCAATTGTTCAAGGACGTCGATGTAACAACACGTATCATCCACGGAGGGTTGTTTGAGCGATTGAGCGAGCTTGAACTCTACTTTTTCTTCTCCTATTGACAATGTCAAATGACCCTCTTTTACGTTGATAACTGCTCCAGCAGTGGCCAAGAATGGGCGTCCGAGTATGATTGGAATATTTGAGTCTTCATCCATTTCCATGACCACAAAATCGACAGGGACATAAAAATTCCCGACCTTAAGTGGGACATCTTCAAGAATCCCAATGGGATATTTGATTGAGCGATCTGCCAGTTGTAGAGTCATCCTCGTCGGTTTGAGTTCTCCAATGTTGAGCATTTTGCATATTGACAGAGGCATAAGGCTCACGCTAGCTCCAAGATCACATAATGCCTTTTTAATTGAGACATTACCTAGGGTGCAAGGGATCGAGAAGCTTCCAGGATCTTTCATCTTTTGGGGTAGCTCATGCTTCAGAATTGCGCTACATTCAGAGTTTAGCGCGATGGTCTCTTCTTGAATCGTCCTTTTCTTCGATAATATATCTTTTAAGAATTTTGCATAGGATGGCATCTTGAGGATAACTTCAGTGAAAGGCAAGTTTACCTCCATTTTCTTCAGCATATCAGCAAACTTTGCGAATTGACTGTCATCGTCACGTTTTCTCAACCTTTGAGGGAAAGGCACGTGTGGCTTGTATGGTGATGGTAGAATGTATGACTTCTCTTGTATGTCTTCTTTTGCCACCTTGATGTCAGGGTCGGAATCGACAACATCGTCTTTACCTCCGTCTTTATTGATTTGTTTCTCCTTGGATTTAATATCTTCAAGTTTTCTCCCGCTTCTTAGCTCAACAACATTACAATGCTCCCGAGGGTTAGGCTCAGGTCTTCCAGGAAGTGTTCCCATGGGCCTTGATGAAGATGACGCCATTTGGGCAACTTGATTGTCTAGGAGCTTCAGATGTGTGTTGATTCCCTCGACTTGTTTGCGGATATCGTCTTGATCATTCTTCATCCCTCGAATCTCGTTGTTTGTTTGTCTAATATCAGCAGACAGTTGTTTCTGCATGCTTAGGAGCAATTCCTTAAGCTCATCTTTGGGTTGCGGCTGCGGTGCAAGTACGGGTTGCGCTACTTGTGGTTGATAGCGTTGCTCGTATGGTTGAAAATGTTGGGGTCTTTGGAGTATTCTTGGGGCTTGGGGTTGATTGGCCAGATTTTCTGTGTTTCCGGTGTTTTTGTAAGAAAAGTTTGGGTGATTACGCCAACCTGGATTGTATGTATTTGAGTAGGGGTTGTTCGCCACATAGTTGACATTCTCGACCTCTTGTTCTTGGGTCTGCATGGTGTAATTGTAGCTTGAGTCTTGTGGAATTGATGTCACCGCATTTGAATTCTCCAATAGAACTGTGAGTTTGGCGACTTGTGCTCGTAGGGATTGGACTTCACTTGACTCACCCTTAGACTTTATGTTTCCCCTTCGGTCGTACTCATCCATGTCATCGCCCCGATCTCTCGCCATTTCTTCAATTAATTCCTCGAGATGCTCAAAAGTGAGGTTGCGGATAGAACCTCCAGCAGCGGCATTTATCCAACGTCTTATGTCTTTCCTTAACCCTTCAACGAAGGTTGAGATTAGGTGCCTTCGATCCATGCCATGATGTGGGCACGCTCGTTGGTAACCTTTGAACCTTTGCCAGCAGAGACTGGCAATACATTTACCCGTGACTCGGGATTGAGCGATTCTCCCGACGAGGTTGTGCGGAAAGACTCTGAAAGACCTGAGCTCGGGTCTGATGAGCTTTTCCGTGGCGGACGGCCGGCGAGAGGTTGTCAGTTGTGTACTGACTTCGCTCGACATAGTCGGTGGTGGCCTGGAGTAGGCAC